TAAATGGCGTTGGTGAGCACAATTCCAGATATAATGGCCGTCAACGGGCTCTCAATCAATGTCGTGCAAGGTGCAATGATGTAATCCAACAATGACGTATTGAATCGCTTTTTTACTAAACAGAAAAATTGTGTCATCTGGCGAAGCCTTTTTCACTGATAAGTATTATACGTCAGTTTATTTCATCATATCTCATCCTTATTTCGATATCATCGACTGTGGGATATTCCCTTTAAGCAATTACACGTGCGCATATGTTCGAAGCGGATGAGGTTGGTTCCACAAAAAATATCCTACTCAGATGTATGGGAGCAGCAGTAAAGGTGCATGAGGGGGCCGTCGGTGCACTTCCCCTTCCGAGAATAATGAGCATTGAGCCTATGGCAGTGCATGATAGAGACAATTGACTACGGGACGGCGGATGCTGCTGCTATGGAAAGTTTTCCAGGATGGATCAAACACCACGATACCAATATGCGCACCGACAGCTTTCAAATGTCGCTGAAATTTCGTGTCCGCGGATGATCTAGGGTATGAATTCGAGTGAGTAATTTCGGGCTCCATCCGGCACGCGGTTCAAAAATGATCATCTCGGGAAGTGTTGGATCGGCTGCAAACTGGGTCCTAGTGAAAGAGCACGCATCAAAGAGGACTGAGCTCGTGCATCATTCTCTCTGGAGTCCGACATACTTATAGAAGCATTGGTATACTGGGTATGTATGCTAGTCGCCACCATCTGACGTGTCTGCCCGCCACATTCTCCAAGCGAGCTGACTCATCGCGTCCGTCAGCTGGCGTCAGTGACGCGCTAAAGGGCGTCAGGCGAAGTCGTCGACAAGGATGTCGTCAGGGTAAGGGATATTGTGGGAGAACAGCAAGCTCGATGGCTGGTTTACAGTGAGCATTTTTAACAAAAAAAGCTAAACCCGCGGCCCGCTACACCCCTGATTCATCTTGTACAACCGCAATTAATTCGAGTTGATTTGCTGGTCGCCCTAGGGTGTAAAACTCATGTCATGGCGAGCTAGGCCAGTCATCATATCTGATTCGACCTATGCGACTGTCACTGTTGAGCACCCCTCCCCTTCCCTAGTCGACGGGATGTGGTGGACCCCGTAGTGATCATTCATCCGGCACATGACACCAATAATGGACATCTGCATTCCAACGCTCGGTACACATCTGCATACCAAGTTTCCAAACGGACATCCGTCGAACTGACTTCATCCCTGGCTAGCATTTTCTTACAAACTTTGTGTATTTACGCCAGACGTCGAAATGCGATCGTTTAATTACGTTTTTGTGTAAATCGAACGTTATTCTTGACTAACATTCACGTTTAAAATTTGGGAGCAAGCAAGTGATTATGACCTTTCCATACCAACTCTTACGCGTAAGAAATGAACTTTTCTGACAAATATTTTACTAAACAATCTTCATCCATGCGCGCTTAACTATTGTGAACTTTTGCCCTTACGGTCTTTATACCTTGCGTCCCATCTTTTTCGAACATTGAGCACATGTACTTTATCTTATGAGCCATTGTCATACATACTTTTTCTATGCGTACTTCTGTCAACAACCCGGTCAAAACAGCGTTTTTAATCCCCTCGCGCATTCCGGTGTCACTCGGTGGCGCCGTCCATGTAAGCGCCAGATGGCGGCGCCGTTCGCCTCCAATGAGGGGGAGCATTTACCCATTAATATGCACCCGTTATGTTATGCATAACTCATAAATGCATCGTAAACGATGGAGAGCTCGAGGCAAGGTTTGTAAAAAGCAGAAATCATTCTTTCAAGGTTGAATTCACACATCGAAAAAACCATCTCATGACATTAATGCACGCTGAGCGAACGCCCTGAGTGTAGGTTAAAAATACCCCGAACGTCGTCCATCAGACACCGGATCACTCAGCCTTCATGAGGCCGGTGAGCTGGCGTGTTTGGGTTCCAGTCACGATCAAGCAGCGACCATCCAACCAACTGGGATTGATTAAATATTGATGAATCAATGGGGCTCTCGCGCGCGTCCATGGGTGGAGCCGGCTGGCCGTTAGTGCGTCAGAGCTCTCGGCGGCCGCGACCTGATCGGGCGTGGTACGGGCTGACTCGCGACTCACCATGACTCATACGCGCCCGCTGACTCCCGACCACCCGGACTGGTGGGAGGCTGAGGAGCAGGACAGCCGGATGAAGTAAGTCAGGCGATCGGCCTGGGCTGCACCGGCTCGTGGCCATCTTTTTCAGATGTGCGCTGTCGGTGGTGAAAGTCATAGGCAAAGGAGCGTCTCGGAAAGTGCCGGTACCAAAACCATTTTGAGGTTGGTTTGTCCATCCGTTGCCAAAGTGCTGATGTTCAGAATTTTCTAAAATTGGGGATGTCATGGTCCCCACAAGCCCTCCTGTCATTTCCAGTTTTGCTTTATTTATCGCGCAGTGATGCATCAGTCACAGTTCTGGAATTGATGTGAACCTCTTAAAGGGTGCGGGCCTGCTCAGTTTTGCCACTCGAGGTTCTAGAACACGGAGAAAATAATGATCCCAAAGCCGTCATTCTTAATCGCACTCCTTGCAGAGTATCGTGATTTCTAGAATATGCGGTTTGATTAATGATTGTAACTCTGAGGTGCAAGTACCGCACCGCAAAAAATACGCTTCGTGCTTATGGGGCGTTCAATTACAATGCTGAGAACTCAACAAAGCCATCATAGTGTGAGGTTTGAAAAGTTTTCTGACAAAAAAAGATGGTAAAATTTATCAAGATCACCGATGCAAAAAATCATGGAGCAGTAATGACATACATATCCACAGATATAAGCAGGAATGTTTGAGTGGGCCAGAGCCCGTTCAATATGGATGCTGGCGCCGATTTTCATCACCACGCCCTTAAAACTGTACTGCGGTCCGAACAGCGCTACCAACAACGGCGTCGCTGCATGTTAGTCAAGCAAAGGAATTTGATAGTTCGACGTGACTGCTGGATTTTAAACCGCACCGTTTTAGTTCATCCATCGTCCATCAATAACCAAGTTTAGACACAGAATATCCACTGTTTTGCAAAATTATCATTGTCATGATCGCTATGCTGCGAACAGCGTAGAGCTTAACACCACGATTAATAATAGAAATGAAATATGCATTGTAATATCAAGCTTGTCGGTCCTGCCAGCACGCAGCCGATTTTGACGTGTCCTGCAAAATTTGAACAAAGCAGACCGTTTTGCGTGTATGCCGGCATAAAGCATCTGCGCCCAACATGTTATGGTTGTGACGTCTTCGGGGATTTGGATAAATTAATATTTAACGAGGGAATTATGTACGAACTTTCGTTTTTAGACCAGTCGTGAGCCCATCGTCGGCGATATCAAATTCTGCCTTATATGCTTTTGTGGGCTTTTATGTTTTCAAGGCATAGCCTGAATGCCACGAGATACAAAAGAAACGGCAAACTCTGCATTATAGTGGCATTCATTTCGTCTGAAGGGGGATTGTTATGCACCAAAAGACGAACATGCTATACATCAAAGCCTAAAATACGCATCATATCAAATGATCTAAGAGGTACGCGCACGTCACAGCACTTGCCATCAGTACACGGTAGCAACATAATCTCTGGACTTAACGCAACTGGTGTCTCGTTTTTTTCACGTCACGCCGCGTGACTCATGATGATGGGGAGAGGCTGCCCATCCTTGCTCCAGAATACGCCACCACCAAGGATAGGCTGGCATTTATGACCATCTTTCTGCGCGCATAGATACAATCCCAAGGTGTGAAATCTGTATTTGAGTCCGACTCTTGGTGTATTGCATGCATTTGACATCAGCAGGCACGAACATAAATACACGGCTATTACGTGTCATCTGTCAATGAGACTAATTGTACCTAAAAAACAATGGAAGGCGATAAGAATAAAAACACACACAAATGCATGCCTGCACTAACAGTATCGGACAGTCCTATTGCACAAAAGGATGACTCAGCAGCACGCTTCAAACTTATCAGATCCAGTCGTCCCACATCCACAGGCAATCCGTTTAGTAGACAGGCCGCTCGGTAGGCGAAGGGCCGCTGTCCTACCGCCGTGTCCACCGCAACTTAGTCTAACTAACATTTGACGTCTAACAAAGTGCATCTATGTCCGAGCTCCCAGCCCATCATCAGATGTATTGCAGTCTGAGTTCGAGTGCTCGAACGCTATGTGAATCCAGATAGGAGCCCCTCGGCACTGAGTGCGAGTCCATGAATCCTTTATCGAACCATATCAGACGATGTTTTTTCATTTGGATCATTCGCGATATAGACAATGCTAAATTGGCAGAAAACTGTGATCTTTAATCTAAGCCAGCATGACCTAACCTATACCTTCCCGGCAACTTAACCTAACCATGCCTGCTGTCTTGTAGAGTCTGCACTGGGCTAGTATCGTTAGATGGTCTTAACACGGCCACTGAAAGCGGCCTGCTTCGCGCCATGCCGTTCCTTTAAAAATGTATATAATAACCAATGATTCGATGGTTGAGCTTGCTTAGTTTCTGTGCATTTCCACGATTCCGATGGGGCTCTTCTATGCCAAATTTGCGTCTGAGTTGGAGCTAAGATAAGACAACTGCTGTTTACACTTTGCAATGATGTGGGGGCCGAGTTCTGTTTGAGCCTCTCTTAGACTGAGCTCATTCTTTGTTTATTGTAGTGTTAGGCTGGGCCTGAGTGCGAATTTGATTTTCTTCGCTTAAGCCTGAGCCTGATTTCGAATCTGAGTTCACTGCTCCTGAAATTGATGAATGTGAGTCCGAATCCCCGCGCATCGCCTTTCAAGTTGGCGAGTCCGAGTCCGAATCCGGTTCATCAGCGAAATGAATCGACCCACTTGAGTCCGAGCCCCAAACTGTAAGGACTGCGGTCATGATTCCAAGTCGAGTCGGACTCAGAATCCGGTGTGCGTTTTGGCTAAGCGCAGCAGGAGACCCGCACGTTTTGCTCACCGCGTCCGTCTACAGAGTGACGTTCAACACCCGCGTGCGGAACCGGCTGGAGCAGCTGCTGGGTACGGACATGCTGCGCCTCAACGACCGACAGTACATGCGGACACTGATGAAGCGCATCTACGAGAACCAGGAGAACAGTCTGCAGACCAGGACAGAGGAGCGCCAGGTGAGGCGCTCAGCAAGCAGCGCATCTACGGCACGACAATGCAAGTGAGTGACATAAGTTATCAGCACCTGGTCAGATTTGACAATATCTAAATAACACACGACACGAGGTGCGACACGACATTATCAGCTCAAGGGTAAGGAACGGATTCATCGTGGTATAAATTGCCTTAAAGTCGAAATGCGTGCCAGATACCGCACAAATACCCAGTTTAACGCAGCAGTGCTACGCACTGAATCAGTTGGAACAAAAGTGCTTTTGGGGCACCCAAAGTATCTTTTGTGTTACTACGTGGAATATTTTTCATAAGCAGCTGTGTGCAAACCATTGTCGGAAAATATCGCATTCAAACAAATTCCATCGTTTGTACGCAATTTGACGCACATTCCCATAGCCCAAATAAATCATTGAATTGTCTTCGTTTCTTTCCAGATACAAGAGATCAAACGGTTAAAGACCTTAGTGGAAGATATGAAGATGGAAAAGCCTCCAGACATGACAGAGTCAGCCTTTGTGGTATCATTCAAGAAGACAAAAGCTGAACTAGAAAAAGTTCAAAGGGTAAGAAACCCCCCGCAGTAGAGTGAACCTCCGTTCTCAAGCATCCACTTTTCGAGGCACGTGGTCCGTCATGTCGCGAACATTGAGTGTGGGCTGGAAGCCCTATTACGTCGGCAATGGTTTCAGGCGGCCAGTTCTGTCGCCTGGGTGACGTGATCCATCCCGCCGCAGAGGCAGTTCAACAAGCGGCACAACATCAAACACCGGAAGACGGTGTCGTGCTCAGAGCTGGACAGTGAGGACGAGATGTCCTTGGACGTGGCCGAGCTGACCACCAACGAGAGGTTCCACGAGTCCAGGTGAGCAGCGGCCTCCGAACATGGTGCCGGAGGACGCCTCGGGTATCATGACCTCATGTATCACGTCCCCGGGGATGACGCATCCGGTTGTCACGTTCTCGGTCACGACACCCTCGGGTATCGTGGCCTCATGTATCACGTCCCCGCGGATTATAGGCTCGGTTGTCACGTCTCGGTCACCACACCCTCGGATGTTGTTACTTCATGTATCATTTCCCCGGGGATTATGGACACTGTTGTCACGTTCTCGGCCACCACACCCTCGGGTATCGCGACCTCATGTATCGCGTCCCCGCGGACTACGTATCCGGGTGCCACGCTCCCGGCCACCACACCCTCGGGTATTGTGACCTCATGCATCACATCCGCGGGGATTAGGGACCCAGTTGTCACGTTCTCGGCCACCACACCCTCGGGTATTGTGACCTCATGCATCACATCCGCGGGGATTAGGGACCCAGTTGTCACGTTCTCGGCCACCACACCCTCGGGTATTGTGACCTGATGCATCACGTCTCCGGGGATTAGGGACCCAGTTGTCACGTTCTCGGCCACCACACTCTCGGGTATTGTGACCTGATGCATCACATCCGCGGGGATTAGGGACCCAGTTGTCACGTTCTCAGCCACCACACCCTCGGGTATTGTGACCTGATGCATCACGTCTCCGGGGATTATGGACACTGTTGTCACGTTCTCGGCCACCACACTCTCGGGTATTGTGACCTGATGCATCACGTCTCCGGGGATTAGGGACCCGGTTGTCACGTTCTCGGCCACCACACCCTCGGGTATTGTGACCTGATGCGTCACGTCTCCGGGGATTAGGGACCCAGTTGTCACGTTCTCTGCCACCACACTCTCGGGTATTGTGACCTCATGCATCACATCCGCGGAGATTAGGGACCCAGTTGTCACGTTCTCGGCCACCACACCCTCGGGTAATGTGACCTCATGTATCATGTCCCCGAGGATTACGTATCCGGACTAAACATTCTCGGGTACGAAGTCCCCAGGCATTACGTGTTCGGGAGCTGTGTGCTCTGGGCACCCCGGAAGCGAGCAATGAGGTGCACGATTTATGGCGACGTTGCCGGCTTGACTACGTGTAGCGGTATTTGGGTCCCACAGTCGCCTTCTGAACAGAATAAATGTAACACTAGCTTCAACAATGTTGGAAGAGAAGTCGGTCCATACTGTTTCCAAGGACGCAGGGAGCAAACATTTTTGATTGTAAAAACTGTTCCAATAGCGACAAACTAGCGATATATGTCATTGTTCCATTCTGTTGGAAACCCAATCATCAAAACCCTAAGCACAAAGACGGCCCGGACACAAAACGAAGACCTTTTATAACCACTCAACTTGTATCGTGCTAGCCCGGTCAGTTGTTACAGGTGGTATTGGAGGGGCCGTACACACTGGCCCTGTGGTGATCGTCTGTCGGACGCCTGATATCGATCGACGCCGCTCATCAGCATGCGCTCCTGGTTTGACCCGGTCCCGTGCACACGTGCGCTGTTCTAACAGCTTAACACCTTCAGACACACCATGGACGGAGCTGTTTTGGAACATAACGTAAATGCGCATGTGGTGTGGAGATCTCAATCAACATCAATCGCAGAATACGCACCCGCTGTCTGGTTGGCATGCCTGCACCGTCCGGCATGGGTCCATGCCTGCAGGATATATAACCTGCCGTGGTCTTGCCTGTGACATCTGACCCAGGGCGATCAGCTTTGCAGGCACCACACGTGACCTTTCGCCAGAGGAAGACGACTCGCTGGAGGAGGAGGAACGGGCCAAGGAGATGGCAGAGCTTGCCAAAAAGTTCGGAAAATATGAGGAGCCGTTGGTGAAGCTGCTGTATGAAGAAGGGGTAAGGGACAGCTTGTCCACTGAAATCACGTCAAGCGTGATGTGTTGGAATGGTTTCATATTGCCCAGTTTTTTGCGGAGTAAGCCATGTGTTTGGGACTGGTCGCGGAGAATCTTGCGCAGAGGACCGTGATGCTCGGGATTTTTCATACACTCTTCTCGAATGGTGTGTTGCCTGAAGCCGACTGCCTGCATCACCAATTGTACCTGCATTTTTTCCACAGACTGTCCCAAAGCTCTACGACTTGGCGGAGATTATTCTGGTGAAGCCTCCTAAGCCTAAAAAGAAGGGACGTATGCAGGAAGAACAAGAAGAAGAAGAACAAGAAGTTGACGAATCAGGGGACCCGGCAGAGGACAGCACTGGAACTGACGAAGACGGAGAAGGCGAAGATGACGAGGTTACTGATGAGAACGAGGGAGATGATGCCAATGTTGAGGGCGAAACCGTTGCTGGAGAAGAAGCCGCCACCGAAGGTGGAACTGCTTCTGATGGTGCCAGTGCAGAGGGTGCAACGCCCGCTGAAGGTGAAGCTCCTGCCGACGGTGCAGCGCCTGCTGAGGGTGAGACGGTACCCGACGGTGCAGCGCCTGCTGAGGGTGAGACGGTACCCGGAGGTGCAGCGCCTGCTGAGGGTGAGGCGGTACCCGGAGGTGCAGCGCCTGCTGAGGGTGAGGCTGTACCCGGAGGTGCAGCGCCTGCTGAGGGTGAGACGGTACCCGGAGGTGCAGCGCCTGCTGAGGGTGAGGCTGTACCCGGAGATGCAGCGCCTGCTGAGGGTGAGGCGGTACCCGGAGGTGCAGCGCCTGCTGAGGGTGAGGCGGTACCCGGAGTCACAGCGCCTGCTGAGGCTGAAGTCGCAACTCCTGCTGAGGGTGAAGCTGCGGCAGCCGAAGGTGCCGCCACGGCCGATACTTCCGGAGAGAGAGGCACTGCCGAAGAGGGCGAGGATGCTGAAAACTGCACCGCTGCCGAGGAGGGGGCTGCTGCCGAGGAGGGGACCGCTGCCGAGGAGGGCGCCGCTGCTGAGGAAGGTGCCGCTGCCGAGGAGAGCGCCAATGCCGAGGAGGGTGTCGCTGTCGAGGACGGTGACGCCGCCGATGAGGACGCCACTGCGGAGGAAGAGGCCGCTACCGAGGAGGCCAACGCTACCGAGGAGGGTGCCGCTGCTGAGGAGGGTGCCACTGCCGAGGAGGGCGCCACTACTGAGGAAGGGGCCGCTGCCGAGGAGGGTGCCGCTGCAGAGGAGGGGGGCGCTGCTGAGGATAGAATGGCTGTCGAGGAGGGTGCTGCTGCAGAGGAGGGCGCCGCTGCAGTGGAGGGCGCCGCTGCGGAGGAGGGCGCCGCTGCCGAGGAGGGCGTCGCTGCTGGTGAGGCGGATGTCAGTGGTGAGGGATCAGCTCCGGATGAGAACAGCGAGACGTCTCCCAGCTCGGAAACAACCGACACCTCTCCGACAACTGGCGACACATCGGATGACGCAGAGTCACCCGAAGGCACGACCGAGGGTGCCGGCTCATAGACGACCCTCAGAGAGCTGGGCGTGCTACTCAGAAAGCTGTGCTACTCGTCTGATTCGACTTCCGGACATAAAGGCCTTCGGGACATGTATTTTGTAGCGGACTATGACCGAAATGATAGGATCTGAGCGTCTATATTCGCGGGTTTTGGGTGAATATGGAAGTGCTATTGATGATCACGCACAACGTTGCAATAGGTCTTAGAGCAAGCACTTCCACACAACCTAGACACTACACTAGACGTTTTAGGCTATTTCATCGCATATTTTGGCAATAATTTTTGCATTCCGTGTGCTTTTTATCGTGCTATGTTTCATGGTCTAATACAATACTAAGGGACTCGTCAACTCTGTCCTCAATTACAGTACCTAAGCAAGCAGCATTGCAGAGCAAAAAATCGTCATTGGCACCTATATATATGCGTGTTGTGTGAGCGGCACCTGTCATAAGCTGAACGCCAAACAATGTTTTTTAAATCTCCGGAAGCTACATTATGTCGCGTCCAAAGGTCAATGTCAAGAAGAATTTCGTAACCTGAAATTCAATTCACTGCCACAAACTACCAGCAAAATAAGCGTAACGTTAAACATGCTTGCTTGTCGTTTTCTCTCATCACCTTGTTTCTCTGATGATTGATCATAGCGAGCAATGATGAATGGAAGGGAGCAGTGCCACAAGCAACTACTTTTCTCAGCGATAATCATATATTTATTTTCAAAGATCACGGGTGATGACGATTGCTGGGATGACTACACCTGACCATGGTCTATCCACACGAGCGTGTAGGAGGGTGCGGGAGTTCGAGGAGGGTAGGGAGAGCGTGTGGGATTCGTCACGCTCCGTGAGGCCCGCAGTTGCAGACTGACCGCGCCCACGTGACCTAAGTGGAGGCTATAGCAGTGAAAGTTCGTCTTGTGGCGAGAGACCAGATACCTCAAAATATCAGCATGAGCAACGGAACGGCATACCGTATCACATATGATCGCCTGAAAATGTTCGAAGTTGCCCCAACGTAGGCGTCAAAACAGGTGTCGCATAAACTGTCACATGATTAGGAAGGCTGGCTCGGGCTGGAACAGCAGGGTTTGCAAGGTTACCAAGTCGAGGAGTATCAATTGGTGAAGTGAACTCCTACCACAAATGAAAGCTTGTTCACATTTTCCAATTCAGTGGCCGTCTACTTAGACAAGGCAGTCTACTTAAAAGAGGCAGTCTACTTAGTGGGAACGCGCAGACTCATCACCTTGACACGCGCTCAGACGGCTAGTTGAACGCCGTTTGCTTGGGTGGCGAAGTGGTCAATTTGACTCCCCTAAAATCTCAGGAACTAACAGCTAGATACACAAAATTCGCAGGGTGTGTTTGCCTATACTTGAACTGCCTTGCATCAAAATTTGAGGTTCCTAGGTTATAACCTTCTGGTCAAATAAGGTCAAACAAGGTCCTAGTCCAGACTGGTGTCCGAATTGCCGCCAGACCTTCCCATGCAACCACTGTAAACCTACATACCTGTTCGAAATAAAGGTCACTGGTTCTCACTCAAGGTCAGTGATTTGTTTGCCTTTAGATGGTCATGGTGATACAAATCATACCATACTGTTTTGATCTTTTCATTTGAATAAGTACCAATGATTATGTTAGTTGGCATGCTCTTATTAACAAAATGTTGATCTAGTTCATCTTAGGCCAGTGACCTATTCTGACGTTTGAGAGGCCCATAGAAAATGTATAATGCGGTTCCTATTATTAAAAAATTCAAGATAGACTCCAAACACTACACCATTTAGCCAGATCTAAAGTAAAAAAGGTAAATTTTGACCTTGATGTGACCTTTATACGTAACCCTAGGTCAAGGAAATTTGTCAATTTAATTGTTGTGCTACCTAAGAAACAATCCCAGAGACTGTGGTTTCATCCAACACCTCGATGTTGCATCAGATTGAACGATCCCTAGAACTTGTCTACGCTGAATCTGTGGCCTGACTTTGGCCTTCCATAGGTCAGCGACCTCACAAGGGACGTCTGAATTTTTAATATCAAAATATTTTCCATCAAGTTATCTAACGACATCCCATACTTGGCGCGGCTATTCCGTGCCGTTCGGAAATCATTCCGGAAAGGCTTTTGGGGTCATATTGACCCCCACCCGGGCGCGTGTTAAGAAATGACGTGCAGGCATTCTCCAAATAGACGATGCAAGTAATATTTCGGGACCACGAGGGCGTGATATCAGCCTACCCAGTTCCCAAGGGTCCTGCTGTTGGACGTAGCCATCCAGGGCATGCACTTGCCGGCCATTGCCAAGCGCCAGGGAAGGCGCGCGGCCGATTTATTCCTTGCCACAACAACGCCCCGCCTCATTGTGCCACTGTTGTGACGAAAGCTCTGGCTGACAACAACATCGCAGTGCTGGAGCACGTTCCGGTACCCCCAAGGTCCCACCCCAAAAGGAGTTCTGGTTGTTCACTGAGGCGAATAATCGGCTGCGTGGATGCTGCTTCCCATTGCGGCACGCACTGGGATCGGCCATACTCCGGTGACGCAAACGTACTTCCATTCAGAGCTTTGGTGAAGCTATGACTGACTGCCACGCCGCTGGAAGTACTACATTGAAAATCAGGCACAATGCGTGGGGTAATGAGCTATAATTGGCGAGTTTGTGTCAATAAATGCGCTGTCTTTAGCAAACGGGACTCACTTTTGGGATGCACGTTCAGTGACAATGACATCGGGTTATGCGGGCTGAGCATATACATACGTTACCGAATTCGTTACTATTTGGATGGAATGGAAATCACGTTTATCAAAATATATATCGTAAAATATATCAATGTACATAACGTTAATCAAAATGTATAGAATTAACGTTTAGTTAGGTCGCTAAACATGCGTTTAAACAAGACACCATTGATTGGAATGCCTCTTATCACTGAAAAGCTTGGCACATTTGCCAGAAAAAAAATGTTGAGCGTGCCAAAATGCAGCCAACCTGGTCTTTATCCCGTCCCCCTGGGCCATGCGTCCTGTTGAATGGCTGCAGACAGAGGAATAGTTCGCCCAGACCTGCGGAGCCTTATTTCATGTAGTACAAGTATGAACTTGTTCATACTTGTACTTGTGCTGTGTAGGCCTACGAAACTGAAACAAATAAAGTTTGCATGATTTCTTGATTCTGACATCACTGATGAGTGAGACAATTCGGTCGAAGTTCATCCGGTGCATCCACGCCGATACCATAGACAGGAGGGAACGGCCTCCATATCTATAGTTTAGGCTATTCATATATCATTTAATAGGCTGTGCATATATAAGTAAGCATATGTAAGATAAACCATTTTTACGTTTTAATGAACTGTGATAAAGCCGATGTAAATTTCAAACTTTTGACTACACATGGTTTAACGCTGTCCGTTTGCACATATAATAGTGTAGCAATGACATGTGTAACTGTTAAAAATTGTACGTAACTTCTCACTTTTCATTTCATTGACCACTTGCTCATCTTGCCCGGTGGGTGGGGTAACATGTTCCACGTAGTGTGGCGTAGTGGGGCAGCATCTGTCATCTATAAAGAAAACTCACGATTTATACGTGTATTTGGAAAGTCGTTATTAACACACGAAGTTAGCTATATTCTCTATGACAAAGGCTTGCGTAGCGCGAGGAACAATAGCATAGTGCACTGAAACAGAGTCGTCCGATCGTAGCCACTTAAGGATAATCCGAATCACAGTTGTGACACTGGCACTGACAGTCGCCGCCGGGCGAGCATGACTCGTACACCCACATCTTGCAAGTGGTGCACTGGATCCACTTCTCTTTTTGTCGGCGGTTGCTGTATGGCTCTATGCACAACAAGTCCACCACATCCTCATCACTATCATCGTCGGAAGATGACATTCTCTTCGTCGACTTCCGCTTTGCTTTTCCACCTCGTGGCTTTGCTTTGCCGCTCCTCTTTTTCTGCTATTCTTAATGGAGTCGCTTCTTGTCGGAAGGCAATGCCAGTACCAACAATCTTCCTTGCTTACGATTGGCGTGCCACTCTTTCGTGGTGGAGCTCTTGGCATGAGTAACACGGCTTCCAATGCAACGGAATGACTGGTTCGTCCGGCACGGTGCCCTCTGCTCCCAGCTCGGCCCGTAAGTGGGCGCTACCTGGTCCCGCGCCGGATGCGCTCGCTCCCCGCAGGGCACCACTTAGTGCGCCGCCGGAGCCACCCTGTAGTGGCCTGTCGGTCTCATCTGCCGGCGAAAATGCCTGCTCTGGGAAGACTTCTCTGTTGAACGGGGATATCCCAGCTGCTTTGAGCGCAGACTGAATGTTGAACGCGGTGAGGGCCTTGGTGTACACGATGTCCCCACCTTGCGGGACGTCGTAGACTGTCACCGTCTTTCCCGGATTTTGCCGCATCCAGTCCGTCATCGCCCAGCTGTAGTAGGTCTACAGCGGACCGAACACCGCTACGTCTAGAGGCTGAACGCAGTGAGAGGTGTGCGGCGGAAGCGTGCGAAGGGCGAAGGGCGATCACGTTAGCGGAAGCGAACTCACTTGTACGAGGTGAGATGAAGCGACGGGGTCGTCCAGGATGACGAGGACTTGTTGCTCCGCTGAACACCGAGTGTGCTTTTGAAAGCGACTGAGATACTCGAGGAATATATTCTCGTTTACCCATCCCTTCTTCGTTGCTCATTAGGGTGTGTCATCGAGGGGGGGGAATCTCTTGGAATCAGTTGAGACAAAGTTTTTCCTTGGCGCACGGGTTCATGATAAACTTTCAGGCCTGTTGCACCGCACCAATGTTGATATTAGAGAGGTGAGAGCAGTTTTTCTTTGATAGCCAAGAAAACCGCGTTCGATACTAGCGCCATCTATTCTACGCACTGGGATCATCCTCCAACAAGCTACAAAGCTGCCACTTTCCACACTACTGGTACTTGGGAGATTAAGTATGAAATAATATCATGAAGAGCACCAGTAAAACATTGCCAAACAGCTTTTAAGCTAATTTTTTAGTAAAGGACATTAATTTTTGGTAAAACCCAAAGCTGTGCAGCTGTGGGAGTGCCCCAGCAGACCAAGTTAAACTCAAGTTTTTCATTGCTAACGCATCATTGTGATGTTGATTTGCAATTTATGTGCTTTTTACGTGGGAGATATGAGCTTATTAGTTTAGTTTTGCCGGTACTGAAACATTTCTTTCGAACAATTACTTGCATGAGCATGCCAAAAGCTGTACGGTCGCGCACAAAGCATTTTGTGACAGGCCACCCGACTCTACTGTACCACCACCAGCTGCCGAATACGGGAAAACCTTAAGCTACATCAGGTGACTGAAAGAATCGA